ATTTTGAAACCTACTGACTGCTACACTCGAATTCAAGGTTTACAAACTGTGCGCTGTGTACATCCTGTTTAAGGACAACCGTTTTTTCATGGGCAAGTCCAGCCGTTCGGAGTCTACTTGAGCCACGTCCACCCTAGTAGTAAATCCAAACGGGTTCCATCATAGAATCCTACTGGAAAAATCCAGATGCATTTGCCGGATTCTCTCTACGTGATGTGCACGTGCTACTGAGGATAATTCAGCGTAGTGAACCTAATTAGAAGTAATTGTGTGAACTAATCGATAGAGGAGACCAAAAGCGATCTTTGAAATGCAGAAAGAGATTAATAGTCTGTTGACCATATGGTCTAGGTATGTAACCTGGCGTCAAAGATATCTGCTGAAAAAAATAGTTACTCTATAGTAACGCACTGCTTCGGCAGGTTGTAAGCAACCAAGCGAGGTGAACTTATTTTTTTCTGACAGTTGTCAGACGGACGAGCTGAAAAAGGGACCAAAAATTATGTTTAACTGAAATTGAGTGTCCAGTAAAGATAACCTATAATTAAAGCCTTACCTTACTTCTCAGGACACACATGAAGCAATTTGTTCAAAAGACGTCCTTTACCGCATTGTATAACCTTCGTCCCGGGACAACTTACGTTATTTGCGTCTCCAGTAACGTTGGCAGACTACACTTTACATGTGCAACTTGGAGAACCAATCAAAACGGTCTGGACACTGAACAGGTAGAACGTAATAATGCTTTCCAGATACCAGCGGAAGTTGGTGGGTTGGGCGACACCTGGACTCTGATCGTCTGGAAACCTGCAAAAGCCTATGAAAGGGGACGGATCTTGGCTCCAGAGGCCTACCTCCTCCTTGCTCAACAAATGGGCTCCCAATGTCCGGACCAGATGATTGAGATGATTCAGACAACGGTACGTTTCGGTTGTCCGTTGGAATCGGCAATTTTTCCTCCTTGCGTCTTAGCTAACAAGCATTCTAATACTTGATACATACCTTTTGATTTCAACTCATAAACTTAGATGCATATTTGCTATAAGGCCGAAAGTTCTAAGAGTTCGTGCGGCTTTTCGAGGATGTGGTCGAAAATACGATGATTTAAAATGTGCATGGTGTTGTCTGTGGGGATGGACACACAAGACTCGATAATAGAAACACGCACCTATCGCGAGCACCTTGAGCTATTTTATGGAAAAGTAGAGTAAGTGTAGAAGCCAGAGGTTGACTGTCAAGTTATATTTCGGTTAAAGATGAAAATGTGCATTTGAGAGGACCACATAGTTCCGACGCTTTTTTGGAAGAGAACGCTCAGAAGGAGAAGCGATCACTGGAACAAGAGTTTTATTTTCCTGACGTTTCG